ACACCATCCCTAAATCCCAAATGGCAAAGGGCCATACACAGTAATCCTTTCCACACCAACTGCAGTGAAACTCCAGGGTCTTCCCCATTAGGTACACAACTCCCACCTTAAGCCATTTGTCTCAGCTTATTCCCCTCCCACCAAATCTCCCACAGGTTCCTACTCCTCCAACCTGACGGGACCTCTTACTCTCCGCATTTCCCGCTGCTCATCTTCGCTTCCACTCATCACTGAAAAGTTTCTGCCAGCATAGAGTCCTAAGACCTCCCTTACAACCGCCATGCGTCATGCTTCAGGATTATTAACCCTGGTCTCTACACTTACTCTCTCACCAGACCTATCTTCCCAATGCCAGCCCTTCTCTTTCAGACTGTCCAAAGGATTGCGCCATCAAGGATTCCCTTTGCCCTACAGGTTGTTTTTCTGCCTACACATATGTCCCCCCAAAATGCTATTAATTCAACCACCCTATGTAAACATAGCAATTAGCCCAAATGCAAAAAATTTCTAACCAAACTTTTAACCAGCTTATATTACAGGATTACCAACCCCTCCAAAGACGATGATCCTTATTGAACCTGGAAAATGCCATCGCCACTGCAGACGGAGGGCTCATCTGAGGACCGCCCCTCATCAATACAAAAATGAACTTCATCCAGGAAGCAGCTCCTGAAGACTAACCTTCACCCCTTCCCAAATCCTCTACCACTTATAAAAAAGAAAAGGGAGGAATGTAAAAATACAGTAATTTATCCTCCATTTGCCCCATGGTCCCAAGCACATAAACCGGTGAGAATTATGCCTGGGCTTGCCTGGGGCTTACCCCGCCTTATCTCTAAACATCCCGACCCTCCCCCAAAGCAGCAGGCCGAGAGGATCCACAATAAAAGGCACCACGCTGCTGCCCTCTCTCTCTCTGTCTCTCTCTTTGTCTCTGTCTCTGTCTCTGTCCCCCTGCTCTCCCTGCTCTCTCTCCCTCCCTCTCTCTCTCTCTCTGCTCTCCGCTCTCTCTGTCCCGCTGCTCTCTCTGCTGTTCCCTCTCTCTCTCTCTCTCTCTCCCCACCACCCCCTGGGGCAGCCACTCTCTCCTTCAGATAATAAAATCTCTTGCGTGGAAAGAAAAAAAAAATCATGAAATAAGTTACAAAAGTAAAGACAGTGGAATTTATCAATTCAAGAGTTGATTCTTTGTTATAAGTAAACTTAAAATAAGTATTTGTCATAAATAAACAGTAAAATAAACTTCTGGCAAGGATAATTAAGAAAAAAGAAATCACAAGCACACAACATGAAGAAAGAGAAAGTAGAGTTAACTCCAGATACCGAGGAAAGTTTTAAAATATACATTCCTGGGTTAATAAATTAGAAAAAGATCATCAAAAGATTTTCTACAAAAGCACAACAAAAAAAGATATTAATTCCTCCCCCTCAAAAAAAGCACAACAAAACTGATTCAAGAACAAGTTATGGAAAAGATTGAGAATATTATCAAACTTGTCCCCAAAGGTGATACAGGGCCCAGAAGTTTTCCAGGCTGTTTTACATGCCTTCAAAGAAAGATAATTATGCTATTTAAAATGTTCTAGAGCAAAGAGAAAGAAAAGGTCTTCCTGATGCCTTTTCCAAAGCCACCATTATCAAAACACTAAAACTTGAGAAAGAACACAATTTTTAAAAAACCCACTGACCCTATAAATGGAAATGGAACAAATATTAAAATATAAGCAAAGTAATTCAGCAAAATATTTTTTTATTCAGCAGAATATTAAAATAATAAAACACTCATATCCAGTACAGTATAATCTAGGAATGCAAAAACGAGCTTCACACTGAAAAATCCATTAACAGAACTCATTATACCGATAGGTCAAAGGGAAAAAACGTGTTCATCTTGTAAGATGCTTAAGAGGCATTTTATAAAATTAACTTCCATTCCTGATTTTTTAAGAAACTTCAATAAAAACTGAAAGCATTATATGGCCCAGGGGCAAAAAGCATATAGCTTTGGTGGTAGACAAACCTGAGTTCAAAGATGGGTCTAACTCCTTACTGGGTGACTTTGTACTATTTCCTTGGCTTCTTGAACCTCAGTTCCATCATTTGAAAGATGGTTATCACTCCATTTAAATGAATTAATGTAGAAAATCATATTGCACAGTGCCAAACTGGCACGGGCCATGCTGCTCATGCTGTTTGACAAGGTCCAGGCACGAGGAGGAGTCCTGAAAACAGGAAACCTCACAGCTGGCCCCTGCTAATTCCCGCACTTATTTTTGCAGTTATGATGTTGGTGATTGGGCTCATATATGGGAAATCCTATGTATTTAAGATTTATTAATCTTTAGTAAATAACATAACCCAAAATATTGATCAAAGCAGCAATTCTGGAAACGAAAGCAGTGTTATGGGACCAACTGTTCCAGGCATATTGCCACAAATAAGTGAAGCAGAACAACCCTCTTAAAGGCCTCTCTTAAAACTAGATGCAGTTTGTCCTTCCTTTTGTAATAATTCAAACATGATTAACCAGAAGTTATGGGAACCTGGGCCATGGAAAAACCCCCATAGAAAAACCCATTTTCCCAAGAAATTCATATGAAACAGCAAAGTAATAAAGATAGTCCCCACTGCCAAGGGCCCCCCTTATGTTGCTTATAATATTAGAAGACACCTCTAGTATCCCCCTTAAAGAAAGAATTTATGGGCAAAATAAGAAGACAGATTTATAAATATCCCATATATAGAAGTTAATGATAAATTTATGACAAAATATATTAATAGTAAGGTAGTAAGAGCAGATGTAGTGTTATTATATGAAAAATTAGAGGACTGCAAGGCCCTGTTGCCTATAGACACAGGAGGAAAGGTGTAAACATCTGAAATTGTAGAATGAATATCATGAAAGAATAAGGTGTTCCTATTGTATTCGTAGGAATGTTAAGGAATGTTAAAACTTATAGGTGATAGGAGTACCATCCCCAGACTTTAGATGTAAGCCTCAACCCACATGTGTAAGATAGAATTTAATTAATAATATGGCATTACACTTAATAACCAAAAGACATATAGCTTGCATTTATATAACCTGTTTAAACTTTATATAGCCTTAGACACATATCTTAAATTCTATATAATCTTACATGCTTGTAAGTAAAAGTCATAGCCTACACGCTGTCTCACGCCATTTTCTGTTTAGCACCTAGCCCATAGCTTACATGAATTACTAATCACAACAGACTAGGGGAAAGTTAAAAATTAAATGTTAAATAGCTACTATTAGAGGAAATGCTGATATTTACTTAAGGGTAATAAGCCAGAATTATGTAGAAACTGACAAGAAAAAGATTGTATTATTCACGATTAAAGAAAAATGTTTAACATCATGTAAACCTTAAAAAGTATTTTATTAATAAATGGAAACAAGAGTTTTTCCTTAACATGACTTTTAAATCTGTCTATATCAAAAAGGATTGTTAACAGTAAATACCAGGTAAAAATTTGTATTACATATACGAAAGGGATTTTTATAGTTCTAGGTATGGATATAGAGACAGAATAAAACGTGGAAGGTTATATTCCAAGATATTAATAGTTGTATATGTCTGGGCAATAGGATTATGGGTGGCTTTTTTTTCTTTTTTTATATTGAATTTTTAAAAATGTAAATGCAATAGCAAATGTTAAATCACAGATAATAAAGAGATAGTAAAAACAGAAAAAAACTGTTATTCCAGAAAAAGAGACAAATTGGGAAATCTCTCCCAAAAGGCAGAGGAAATGGATTAAGATCTTAAAATGATAAAGTGACAAAACGTGAGAATCAGAAAATGGGTGTACAACCTAAGCTTAGAGAGATTCTTAATAGAGATACCGGAGTTATCAGAAGCTCTAGTCAAAGCAACAACCGAAAAAAAATTTCCAGGAACAAAATAAGGTGTACAGATCAAGTTTTACTATGTTCCAGCCAAACTCAGTAAAAAGAGATCAAATATTGGCTAAGTTTACTTTCACCAGTAGGTGAAAGAATTATACAAACATCCATGTGTGTATTTATATATACTGAAGTTACTTACAAAAGAATAAAAATTACTGTGGCCCCAGGCTTCTCTGCAATACAACTGCCAGAATACGGGTAAGTAGAGACACAAACCAATTCTATCTTCTCAGACAAGAAAAGACTCAGAAGCCATGTAGCTCACTTATCTTTCTTGCAAAGCATACTTATAGGATTACTTGAAGGTGTATCCCAGCTGAGTCAGAGACAAATCAAAAGTAAATTTCAAGGATGAGGAAGGTATAGTATAAAAGGGTTTGTGGGTCTTCATTTACTCATCTGCATTCCAGACTCAGAAATGTGACTGTTACGTGCTGACCACTGAATTCCATCGTCCCATCATCTGACCCTACGTGCTTCCTTGCTCTTTTCTAGGACCAGGTAAGAGGATGAGGGATGCAGCAAAACCCTTGCAGAGGCCCTTGCAGAGGCCCAGGGAATGAGGCAGGGGACACACGGCAGGATCCCTCTTTGAGACAAAAAAAGAAGTCTGATTTTGCTTCCTACTGAATTTTTGGAAACGGTAGAGCAAAAGACTGGGGCTTTCCACCTTTTTTCCTGGGAAATCAGAGAGAACTGCAGAGTTCGGTGTGGGCAAGGTTTTCTGCGCACCCACTGGCTTCCTCAGACTCACCTAACCGCTCATAACCTCCTCGGCTCAGAGGCACCGAGTCACCTGCATCCTCAATCCGTCCCCGTGGCCTTCCGAGAGGGGGCTGACCGTCGGTGGGGGTCACCGAGGTCAGAGGTTTTTGTGGTCACGTAATCTCCTGGAGAGAGGCTGGGAGCTTGTCTGAACCACCGAATGTGGTTTATTTGGGGGTGGCTGCGGGGTGTGGGGGGTGCTCCCTGTGGGACACGGAGGCGGCCTCGGAAGAGCACGCGTTTGCAAGGAGGCGGGAATCCCTCGGGGCGCGGAGAGGGCCGGCGCGCGGGGCAGCCTTACCCCCGGGCCCGGTGGAGACGGTGACTTGCGCATAGGTGGCTCCCGCGGCGGCAGCGGGGCCCGAGACGCCGTTGAGCGCCGCTACGCGCACGGTGTAGCGCGCGCCGGGCCGCAGGTGGAGCAGCGTGGCGGCGCGCTCGCGCAGCCCTGCCTGGCGCGGTACGAAGGCCACGCGCGGCCCGCACGGCTCGCACGCGCCCGCCGGGCCCTCGCGGCCACAGCGCAGGCACAGCAGTGAGTACGTGACGTCCGAGCGGCCGCCTGAGTCGGCCGGCGGCAGCCAGCGCAGCCGCAGGGTCAGCGGCGAGCGGCTCAGGCTGTACTGCAGGTCCCGCGGCGCCGACGGCGGCCCTGGGGCGACACAGGGGGCGGGCCGATCAGCGGGCGGGGCCGGGGAGGTGAGGGGCGGGGCCGCGGGCAGGACGCGAGGGAGGGTGGGGCGGTTCCTTGAGGGGGCGGGATACGCGAGGGGAGCTCGTCGGTGATGAGGTGGACCGCAGTTCGGACGCGACGTGGGTGGGGCTCCAGGACCGAGGACCGAGGGTGAGGGGCGGGAGTCCTGGCTGGAGAGTCGGGCGAGGTGAGGGCGGGCGCGAGCGGGGACGGTCCACGTGGTGCTACACCCAGAAGCCAAACCTTATCCTTCTGTCTGGACTTTGCTGTCCTGGTCCTTCCAACCCAAGGCCCCCAGTCAGCCCCCAGGCTCCCCGCCGTCTGGGTTGCTGTCTGTTACGCTCCCCAGTGGACTCCCTGCTTTCCCCTAACCTCTGTCACGCCTTTATTGCCCCCTACCCCCAACCCTCCGGAATGCATTCAGGAGGGGAACTCACGGGTGCAAGAAGCCGAGGGCGGGTCCGTAGGCGAGCGAGCGTAGCTGTCCTGGCACACGCAGAACGTGGAGGCATTTTCCAGGGCCCGGCTGTGCTCTGGGCACGGCGAGCAGAGGGGCCGCCGCGAGGACACCTTGTAAAAGCCTGGGGGACAGGCTGCGGGAAGAGCAGTCTGAGAAGGAGGGGTCCCCTCCACGGCTCCCCTCTCCCCCACTTTCCTGCCTGCCCCATGGTTTATCTCCTTGAATTGTGATGGGAGAGGGGTATCAGCTAGTCCAGCCCAGCCCCATGGGGAGGCAGCTCCTGAGGGAACAAGCCAATATTACTTAACCGTCAGTAAGCACGTTAATGTGTGCCACAACACTGCAGTACTTTACTTTGAGTATTCATTTAGTCCTCACAACAACCGGTGCTGTATGTACTTTATCCTCATTTTTAAAATGAGGAAACTAAGGCTCAGAGAGGTTAAGTAACTTACCGAATGCCCCACAGCTAGTCAATGGTGAAATTCCAACCCAAGCAGACTGGTTTCAGAGCCCACACTATACTGCCCTAATGCCCGTAGGAAGAAAATGAGAAACTTCCCAGTCTTGATGTGAGAACAGAAGAGTGGTGCCTTTACTCCACAGTTACCCAGGGCCAGACATATACATACTCCCAGTTACACACACACTGTTGTCAGAACTCATCTTCCACCACCACCATCTGGGGTAAATGCATGGTAAATCCTCAACTGACATCCTTGGTTCCCTTTGGAAATTTCCTTTGGAAATTGGAGCCAAACAGGTGGAGGACCGTGGAGAGGGCCAGAGAAAGTTCCCTGGTTCTAGTTTTGACATCTCCTCCCTTACTTTGTTCCTCTCACTTCCCTTGCCTCACCCAGCACAAGCAGTTGTCAGGAACACAGCTTTTGTATCTGAACAACTTTGTTTGCTGCGCAGTTAACACCATTTATTTGCTGTGTGGCCTTGAGAAAGTTGGTTGACCTCTCTGAGCCTGTGTAAAATACCTACCTCATAAAAGTTGGAGGATTAATCGACATAAAACATGTAAACCACTTAGCACAGCACAGACAACATTTACACAATAATGGCAGTAATTACTATTCCTCCATCATAGGCCTGAAGTGGAAAGTGCTCAACACCCACTTAAAAAAATTTCTCACCAGCTGTGTCAGGAAGAGAGGCAGTTAATCTGGTTTAGCTGGTTATTATGGAAGGCTGGCTGCTCTCCAGCCCCAGAGAAGACATAGTACAACAAAGGGATGCAGACTAACCATGGGGAAGAAATTTTGCCCTGTCTGGGAGAAGAGGGAGGGGGCTGAGAGTTTCCCTTATCTGGAAGGCCCAGGCTTGGGAGGGTCTATCCTGCCTAGAGTCCTGAGAGACACAGCTTTGCCCAGGAACCTTTGGAAGTCTCTGCCTTCAGAACAAACATGGACTTACTAACATCATGGTCTGGTGGGCAGCTGCAACCCTGGCTGGGACCCAGGAGGCATGGCAGTGTTAGCTCAGCCACTTTCTTGCCTTTCTGGCATCAAGAGGTCATGTCAAATGCAAATAATACCCATGGCCTGCCCACCTCTGTTGTAAAATAAGAGAGTCTATCTGTTTGCAGAGTTTCCCAGCAGAAGGGAAAGAACACTGGAGGCTCCCCTCTCTGTGTGTCTGTGGGTGGCTGCTGGTCCAGAGCTGGCTGGTCCCATCGGAGTCAGCATGGGCAATCTCTACTTTGAGAGGCTCTGTTTAGAAGAGGTTTGTGTTGAGGGGCAGACTTCTGATTGCTGGCCCTTCCCTCTCTTCCTCAAGGTCAGAGTCAGGCTTTCAGAAGTCATCTAGTTCAACTTCCTTTGGCCCAGCCCTCCAGCAGCCTTCCTAGTGGGACACAGTCTTTGCTCAGATACTTCTTAATTGGGAGCTCACCTTCTTCTGAGGCTGCCTCTGCTGAACAACACTGGCAGTGAGAAAGTGCTTTCTTATGCTGAGCCCTAATCAGCTTCCCTGTCTGTAATCACCCTCATGCCACCCCATCTCAGGGTCTCAATGTGCCCTGTGGTGCCTTAGCACATCTGCTTGGGTTCCTCTGCTCCAAGGCAGTCCTACAGAGATTTGAAGATACAGGTCATACGCTATGATTTTTTCTCTCAAGGGAAACCCCAAGTCTTTCAGTGATTCCTCTAGTGGCTGGGAGATGGGGAACAAGAGTCAAGGCTGCTGAAGAGAGAAGCCAAAAGGGGAGAGAACATCCTTGCTCTAGCCCCATATATCCATCTCCCTTTAGAGTGGACTTAGCTGTACTTAGCTGCAGAGGGCACTTGGAAGACCTGCACTTTCTAAATACAAACCTGATGATTTCACTTTCCTCCTTTAAACCCTCCAATACCTCCCCAGTGCCAACTACTCCACCCATGCCACACTAAACCCATCCTTTTACACTTTGGGTCTTGTCCTATAGTGTCCTACACCCCTTCTCCCCTGGAAAATGCCTGGGCTTCTCCAGACCCCAGTTCAAACTGATACCTCCCTTGTGAAGCTTTCCTTGGCATCTTCCCCAGCTCCATACTCCCAAAGGCAGAACTAATACCAATACAAGTGGCCTTTGTCTGGTATTAGCCTAAATTCCACTAAGAAGTGGGATTGGGTTCTTGAGTGTGTGTGTGTGTGTGTGTGTGTGTGTGTGTGTGATTGCTCAGAGTGTATCCAAACCTCCTCCTCCAGCTCCTCATTCATTCATTCAATGATGTTTTAACACCTGCTATGAGCCAGGTGCTATTCTAGGCTCTGGAGATTCAGCACTGAATAAAACAGACCAGGATCCTAGGTCCATGGATACAATGCCCTCCTCCTACCACACAGGGAGAAAAGAGGCCATCAGCTGGTAATTCTCTCAATGTCTGGCCTTCAAACCCACTATTACCTCCATCCACACCCATCTTCCCTCTCCTTCATTCCTTCTAGACCTAGAGGAGGGGATGAGCCACCTCCTGTTGAAGGCCAGCCAGCCCCTCTTCCCTCACATACTCCCTGACTATATTCCATCAGTCATCTCGCCTCCTGATTCTCTACGGCGTAACAGAACAAGGAATGGAGCAGTAAAAGAGGTCCATTTAGGGTGCCAGCAATAATAGCACTGTCTATTTTAAAACAGTAAAACTGATTAAAATATAGCCTGCTTTTTATTAGCCATTCTAACCCACTCAGTAATATACTTCCCCTGGGGTAGATTGTGCCCCAAACCCTCCACTTGGTACCCCACTAACTCCTTCCCCCAGTATGAAACAAGACTCCCCTCTACAGTAAAAGTCTGCTCTCAATCCCATGTCCTCCTCAAGACAACACCCACAACACCCCCTCCCTTCCCCTTTCAAATCTAGCCTTCCAGACAGTTCTTTCCATCCCCTGTCCCTAGCTCCTCAGCTTCCTTCCTCCCTCAACCTACTGCAGCTTGGTCTCCATCACTCAGCAGAAACGCTCTCACCAGGGCCACCAAGCAGACATTTTCCAATGTTTGCCTTCTCTGGCAGCTCACTAACACTGTAGGCCATTCCCTCCTGGACACCTCCATCTCCCTTGGCTGCCCCAAAATCACACTCTCCCGGATCTCCGCGAACCTCTGGCCACTCCCTCACAGTCTTTTCTCATGGGTCTGATTCTTCCACTTTCTCTGAACACTGCTGTTCTATGAAATTTTATCATTGGCCCTCTTACTTCTTGCCTCACACATTCTCCTTGATCCATCCTAGCCATAGCCACAGTTTCAAGAAAATATCAGTCTCTGTTGCTGAGCTCCAGACCCACTTTCCATCTGAATACACCATGAATGTGATATGTCCATTCACGTCCTGTGTTCTCTACCCCAGGAGATGACCCTCTGTCCATTCAATCCTTCAGAAGCATACAAGTCAAAAAGGAGTCCTTCCTCCTCCTGTGTTACATGGTCACCTTTTTATTAGGTCTCCAGGCCTCCAGTCTTTTATTAGACCTCACAGGCCTGTCTGTGGAGGCGCCTCATGATCTCCATGATCTCTGCAACTGCCATAGTTCAGACCTTGTGGCCTTTGTCCTGGACTATTATACTACCTTCTTCACCTGCTGGGCCCTAATCCTTCCTTCTCCAGTCCTTTCTTTGTAATTGCAGCTCAAGTCATCTTTTGATAATACAAATCTGAACATACCAGATCCCTGCTTCAGGTCCTCCCCATTGGTCTAAAGCATAAAGTCTGAGCTCTTTATCCCCATATTCCAGGCCCTTCGTGACTTGTCCCTGCTCCTCTCCAGCCCCATCACCCCTCATATCCCCAAATGCCCTCTGCTCCAGCCACAATGATTTGCCCAGTCCCAACCATGCTACATTGTCTCCTGCCTCCATGCTGCTGGACACAGTCTCTTAACTCAGAATGCCCTCAACTGAGGAAGACATTTCCATTGGGCACCTACCATATACCATATCCTATTATGCACACCAGGGTTACTGAGACTAATACGACCCATTGCCTGAGCTCAAGAAATTACTCTACCAGGGGTGGAAACACGCAGAAGTAGGTCACAGCATACCATAGGGTAACTGCAGAATTAGAGATTGCAGCACAGAGGTGGATCCTAACCCTCCCTGGATTGCTCAGGAAGATTCCTGCCTCCAAGTGCCTTATTAAACCACAAGTTCCCCTAGGGAAGAGATGGCAACATTCATCTAAATAGTAATAAACCCTCCATAAATGCAGATGGTATGTTCTCAATTCATATTGAATGGGTAATTGAACACAGGAAAGAGCAAGTATAGCCATTTCCTCTTCTGTCTTTCACCACTGTATTAATACTCTGTTATGTCATATATCACCCTGTTGTGATTTTTAAATTTTACATCTTTCTCTCTAGACTGTGAGTTTCACAAGATGTGAGACTATGCCTGATCCATTTCTGTTGCCCTAGCATTCAGAAAATGACCTGGCTTAAGGCAGAGAAAGACAAGTACCAAATGATTTCCCTCATTTGTGGAGTATAACAACGAAGCAAAATTGAAGGAACAAAATAGCAGCAGACTCACAGACTCCAAGAAGGGAGCAGTGGTTACCAAAGGGGAAGGGTGGGAAAGGGTGGTGGGGAGGGAGGGAGAAGGGGATTGAGAGGTATTATGTTTAGTACACATGATGTGGGGGATCACAGGGAAAACACTGTAGCACAGAGAAGGCAAATAGTGAATCTGTGGCATCTTACTACACTGATGGACAGTGAGTGCATTGGGGTATGGGTGGGGACTTGATAATATGGGTAAATGTAGTAACCACATTCTTTTCATGTGAAACCTTCATAAGAGTGTATATCAATAATACCTTAATAAAATTTAAAAAAAAAAAGAAAAGAAAATGACCTGGCTTAGAAAAAGCATCACTTGGTCTTTCTTCATTAAGCGTGCACATCCATACCCCATCCTCAGTGTCAGTCTTCAGAGCCACAGTTAGGGGAGAAAAGAAGTCTGCTCCCACAGACCTGAGAACTCAACATGGAGGGTCTCACTCAGGGGGCACAACTCTAATTTAGAGAGCTGGATGGATGTTAGTAGTTATCTAGTGCAACCTCCCAATCTGTCTTTTTTGAGCTCAAGGATTCCCTTGTCAGCCTCTGACTTGCGTATTGTCAGTGACAGGAAGCTCTCTCCCTAAAATGTTACCAGTCCCACCAGCCCATAGCCAGTAGTGTTGGGCTGCTATCGTGTTCTTCCTTATGCATAGGGAAGGCAACATGGCGTAGAAAGAACTTCAGAGTTGGGCAATCTGGATTCAAATCCTAGTTCTGCATTTCCTGACTTTGTGAGTGAGGTGTTAATCTCTCTGAGCCTCTTTCCTCATCTGCAAAACAGGGGTAATGATGACTTACTTTATTGCCGCGGAAAAGGAAAGCCTGTGTGTGGTGCTTATCATAATACCTGAACTACAGGCCCTCATGTCCCTTTATAGGAACTCAAATTCACTTCCTAATAACTTCATTCACTGTGCCGGGCTGGACGCACTGGAAGTGCCACAAAAGGTCAGGACTCCAGGCTTCACAGCCCACGGCTTCTCCACTCCCCCTCCTGCCTCTTTCATTTAGGGCATATGCTCTCCCAAATGCCACCTGTGTACTGCACTCCCACACTACATCGCCCAGTCCCCTTGGATACCTTCACAGATGTCACCACGTTCCTGGAATCCGGCACTGCAGCTGCAGCGGCCCACGGGAACCAACCATTCTCCATCCGCGCCACAGTGCATGCGCGGGGGACTGCCAGGCTCCCTTTCTGAGTGCGCCACGCACGTCCCGGTCACCTCCACCAGCGTGGAGAAGGCGCTCTCTGCCGCGGTGGCTGGGAAGGCCGCCAGGCCCCGCACCGTAGCGCGGCACTGCTTGTAGTAGACGCGCACTGAGACCAGCGCCACGCATGCGCCCACGTCCTGAAAAGCCAGGTGGAAACCTCTCCTGCCTAGCGGACCGATCTCACGCACCTCTGTGTTCAGCTTCATCTTGCGCTCGCCCAGGTCGCCCTGAGTGAAGCTCTCGTCCGCTGCGATCGTGTCGATCTTGCGGGGCCGGCTGCCACCTGGGCGAGGGCGCCCGCGGCCCAGGTCGGTCTCGGTTTCCAGGTAGTAGACATTGAAAGTCTCCTTGCAGGTACCCGCGGCGCCGGGGATGCTGCTGCAATCACGCAGTGTGAACTGCAGTTCCACGAATATGCGCTGCCCGCGGCCGCGGCTGATCCAGCCAGTCTGCAACCAGTTGTTCTGGTTGGGCTCCAGCACGTTGCACACCTGGTATGTGCGGATGGGACGGTCGTGTTCGTCCAAACCGCTGATCTCCTCCCACTGGGGAGGAGAACAAAGATATGTGAAGCTCGGAGCCAAGGCGCCCCCAGGAGGCCGAGCCCTACCAGTGACTCAGGTTGAAAACCCCTTCCAATCCCTTGTCATTCTCCTCCCCCGGCCCCATACACACCTCTAACATTATAAGATGCAGAGCTGGAAGGAACGTTGGAAACAATTGAGTCCAATCCTTAATTTTAGGCTCCGGAGGGAGAGTGACTTGACTAGGTATGCACATCGAGCTAGTAGCAAGCCGAGGAATGGAGCCTGGAGTCTCCTGGCTCTTCACCCAGTGCCCTTTCCATACCAAGCCGCTGCCATACTGCCACATCTCCCCACCCCCATCTGAAGTTTTCAAGCCTCTTTTAGGATTCCAAACCTTGCTTGTTCTGTCAATCTATCAATCAACAACACTACTTGAAGGATCTACTTAGTGCAAGGCACTGTCCAGTATTGGCTCCATCCAGATGCCACATTTCTGTTTCTAGACAGCCAGCCAGACTCCCCGACCATCTTTTTTTTTTTTTTTTTTTTTTGCTGTCTGAGTGAAGACTCAAGGTTACCTAATAGGCCACTCTGGCTTGAAGCCAGACTACATGCTCTGAGGAGCATTTAGACCTACTATAACCATGGGGAGCTAAAGGGATGGAGTCCTGGGCCACCAGAGAATCCCGAGGACAGGGAGGGAAGGATTACACTTACCCCATTACTTGGCAGTGCAGTCCAGCCTAGCTCAGCCTGGGAGGCTTTGGAATCCAGAAGAATGACTAGGAAGAGGGGAGAAGAGAGGTGTCAGAAAGCCAGAAGGTCCGGAGGGTGGGACCCTTTGGTGAGATCACTGTGAATTTGCTGAGGGGATAGAGAATGTGATGAAGGAAACAGACAAGTTTTCCCCTCTTAGTGCCTGAACACCCCCTCCCCACCAGGAGGAGATATGAGTAGCTCAAGTCCAGAGAGGTGGCCACAACAATTAGGGAAGGAGCCTGTATTAGTGTCCTGTGGTTGCCGTAACAAAGTACCACAAAGTCAGTGGCTTAAAACAACAGAAATTATTTTATTACAGTTCTGGAGCTCAGGAAATCAGTTTCACTGGTCTAAAGTCAGAGTGTCTGCAGAATTGGTTCCTTCTGAAGGCTCAGAGGGGAGAATCCATTTCTTTGCACTTCAGTTTCTAGTGGTCACCTGGATTCCTTGGCTTGTGGACTCCTCCTCCATCTTCAAAGCACATTACTCCAATCTCTGCTTTGTGATCACATTGCCTTCTCCTCTGACTGACTCCTCCTGCATCCCTCTTATAAGAACCATTGTGATTATATTGGGCCCATCCAAATAATCCAGAAAAATCTCTTCATCTCAAAATCCTTAACCACATCTGCAAAGTATTTTGCCATTTAAGATAACATTCACAGCTTCTGGGTGTTAGATGTGGACATATTTGGGGGGATCATTATTTGGCCTACCACAGAGTCCATGGCAAGTACTCTAAGACTGGCTCTAAAATTGGAGGGGGGCAGTGAACCCCTGCCTTCCCACATCCCCTGAATTATAGGTATGTGTCAAAAAGGAGGGATAAAGTGAGCATATCAGAGGATTCCTGAATACTCCTTGAATCCACTCATACTCAGGGTTTTTCTGAGGTCTGAGGTCTGAGGTCACCAGGGACAGAGAAGATTTGGACCTTTTCAGTTTGACTTCCAGGGTTTCTGGGAAACGAAATGGGGAGACCTGCCAGCAGCAGGAGAAATAAAAATCTCTTATCTTCTTGGCCATTCTCTTTCCCAGGGGCTGTCACCTCCACTGCCTGTAAAGAATTCATTATTCCTTTTATAAAGCCATGACCCCTCCTACACCAGAGAAGCTTGGAGTCACTTTCTTGCCCAAGAAGGCATTTGGCCAGCAGTCTGAATTCTGCTGTCAGTATCAGTCCCAGGGAAGCACTGGTTTGGACAGCACAGAAGAGGCTCAGACATAGGAGCCATCCAGAAATCTTGTACGATAACTCATCTAGAGCTTAAGCAAGGAGGTGGGGCTTCAAGGTGAGAGCCTCTAAACGGTTGGCCCCAGAGGCGTCAGCGACAGTGGGCAGGACCGCCGAAAGCATCCTGATTTCGGTGCAATTGACAGTACATCGGAATTGTATATTGGAAAGCGTCAGAGATCCAGCGCCCTGAACAACCCCGCGGTCAACGCCTCAGATTTTAGCTTCTCATGATTCTGCACCTGGATGTGACGCCTCTGGATTCTACTGACTGTATAGCTCCCCCAGTTCCAGAATCAGAGGCAAGCGCTAGCTTTGGTATCGCCGGGCAGCCCCAAACCTGTCAACGCAGACTGCGCCGTGTGGTCCACGCTCCAGATTCAGCACTGAAGACAGCTCCATGATCAGCAAGTCAGCCAGCTCCCACACCTGGCCTCCAATACCCCACAACCAGCGCTCTACCTTCAGCTGGCCACACAGTGGTCCCCTAGCCCCTGATGTTTTGGCTTCATCCCATAACCCCCTTACTCCGATTTCACCTCCGCATCTCCCTGTCTCCTCTGTTCTCTTCATCTCCCCGCCCCCACACCTCCCACCTCCAATCGCCTAGCCTGTCCGTCTCACCGGCCCCCAAACCGCCGCCTTTGGCTCCCACGATTCCTGGTCTCTTTCTTCCCCAGCCTCCCAGGTCTCCAGCCCGAGCTCCTCAATGCCCCTCTCTTCTCCATTGCTTAAACATCTTTTTTCTGTCTCTCCAGTTCTTTGCTTCCCACTGTCCGCTTGTTTCAAACCCCAATACAGACGCCAGTCTCTCCATACGACTCCTCCCAGCACCCCGGGTCTCCAGCCCCCTATCTTTTGGCATGCCAGGCTCGAAGAACAGCCACCAGTCTCCTCACCTTCCTCGGCTGTCCCGGGCCTTCCTGGTCCCAAAAGCAGCGCGAGGTAGAGCGGCATCAGGCAGACAAACAGGCGCAGCGGATGTGGGCCGGCGCGGGTCTCCATAGCCCGCAGACCTATCTGTCAGTGCGGCGGCGGCTCAAGCCGCGCCAGCCCCAGCACAGCTGAGCAGTGCCCCCAGACTCCAGAGCCGGCTGGGGGCGGGATTTCGCCGGTTACCAGCATGCATGGGGGCCAATCACTAGGCACTGCCACTGGAGGTCCACCAATTGCCGCCAGCAGAAAGTGGAGGGGTGGAGTTTCTTAGGAGAGGGGCGGAACAGCGAACCAGAGGTGGGCAGGAAGGGGTCCCGCCAATCTCCAAACCGTGGGGTGGGGCAGCGCTGAGCGATGGCAGGGCTCCTGGGGAGGAGGATGAGCTGGCGTCGGTGGCCCAGAGAGCTGACCCTTAGCCTCTCATTCCTGAGATATAGACCTTGTGGGCGTGGCTTAAGGAGGGTCGAACATTGGGGAGGCATCGACACTTGCAGCCTCTGAGCTGGCCTGGAAGCTCGTTTGTTCCCAGTACTAGCAGAGGGCTTTGAAGCCTGACCCCAGGCTCTGGGGAGCTCCTCTATCTCCCATCACTTGGCTTCTTCCTAGTCTGTGGCTCCTGGTGTCTCATGGCTCGATCCCGCCCCTTCTCTCCCAGCCCTCGTCACACACACACACACACACACACACACACACACACACACACACACACACACCACCGGCAGGAGGAAGGGGCCAAGTCCGACCTCGGGATCTACTCGAGGAAGGAAAGCAACGTGGGAAACAGAGTGCCACTCTATCAGCAGCGCTTCCGAGACTGGGAAACCATGTGGACGTCAGGATGGGGAGGCGGTACCTCTTGCATGAACCATTGGTTCCTCAGGCTCTTGCTCCTGCTGCCAGCACACAGCACTCTACACTACCACCCCTTTCCCAGTCTGCTCAGAGCCCGGAGTTCTCCCCTTTGAAAATCCCTCTCCGCCCACCCCTGGGGGCTGCTGAGGAGCTCAGCAGCCGGGACTCAGGTAGCTGCGGGAAAGCCGGAGCAATCCTCGCAGAGTTCAAACAGCGCTAAAGAAGCAGCAAGAAAACGTGGAACACGACCTCTATCTAGTGAAGGTCATTTATGTGCGAGCTAAGGTTTCAAGGCGTTGGTGGTGGGAAGGGCTGGGGCCCTCCAGGACGAGGGAGGCGGCTATTGAGCGCCACCATCTGGACTGAACTTGAGCAGAGAAAGCTCCACCCTGTGTCTTCTCAGAGCTCTTTTCCTGGGGAACCCAACCCCTCTCCCTTTGGAGACTATAGTAGCTGAAGAACCCTTGAAAATGTATGTGAGTCCTATGTCTACATGACCTGTGTGGCCTGAATGTCTGTGCATTTTGTACATATGTATTCCTCACCCTTCCAACCAGCACTTTACTGGGTGCCATGCTCTGTGCTGAGGATACCTGGGCGAATCGCCCTGTCTCTGCCCCATCCATACCGCCTTGAGCACTGTCTATAATGAAAATTCCTGACATCGTAGAGCACTGGCCATTTACAAGCCGCAATCATGTGTCATTTCTGTGGGTGTGTCTGTGTTTCTACTATTAATACATGCACACTTGCTCGCTCACAGACATACTTGCTGGATAGCAGCAATAAGATGAGTGGCCGGGAGGTATTGGGCTCTTTTGACAGTGGGAAAAAAGGTCATCAGGAGGGGCTGGAGCTCGGGCACCGCAGGAGACTGAAGCCCTCTAAGGAAGCAGAAGGAGGTGTGGCATCCTCGGATGCAGGCAGAGCCTCTGAAATAAGATCTACCTGAAGAAGGACTTCTACACCCCCACCTCCTTCCATCTTTATTCTCCTCACGCTCGCTTTTTCCCCTCCCCCTCCCCCCAGCGCTGGGAGATGGTATTTTTAGAAGCTGCTTAGAGACCCAGGACTCCTTTCATTTCAAAATGAGTCCTCACTCCATCATCCCTCACCCCTGTCTTCAAAATCAGGTCCCATTCCCTTCTCAGTCTCTAAGGCACCAGCCCTGGATTCTTAGTGAGCTCCAAGGACTTAAGCCCAGAGGTTCATACCCTATGTGTTCAAACAAAATGCAGACTATATAAGCTGTACAAAGATTGTTTGGGAGTCAAACGGAGGGGGCAAATTATCTGGGGAAAGCCACAAAGAATGTGGCTCTCAACAAACCCTTGTTTTAGGGAGTCTGGTTTCCACCCTCTCCTACCACACACACGGGCAGACACCTTGATGAAATAGCTAGATTGAGACCCTAGGAATGAGGAAGAGAAGAAGAAAAGAGGGAAATAATCCTTCTCTTTCTTTCTCTGAACAACTAATTCATAATAAAACCAGAACGGAAAAGCCCTAGTGTATACAGACTTATGCAAATCAGTCGTTTTTTAATAAGAGTTGCTTGAAGGAGGACTTCTCTCTACAAGGAGCTGCGGAATAGACATCTCAGGGAAGAAATTCAGGAGAGCCTTAGGAGGAAACTAAGCCATGGTTTATTGCGAACTTTAAGTTCTGGGTTCAAGTCACCCAAGCGCAGGGTTACACCACCCTCCGGGATAGCGACTGTGTGGGTGGGAGTTTGTTTTCTGGCGGTGGTGCTGAACTATTTGCCCGCGGGCCACAGGCAACCTTGTTTCTGTCCGTGGTGCTGAATCGACTAGCATCTGGAGACTCGATTTTCAACGACCTGGGACTTTGCTGCAGAGCTCTGATCCTCAGCCCAGGACTGGCTGCCTCGTCTCCAGCCTGTAACCAAGATCCAGCGATTTGACTCTCTAGGAGATAAGCTAGTCTTACTTCCTGGAGTAAGTGTGGAAGGGCCTGGACTCTGGCCCGAAACTCATTTTTCCTCCTCTGCTCCTCCCAATCCCTATGAGGTAGGATGGAAATGATGCTTCTCTCTACTTCTGCCTCACTATCTCTGATGATGGGGAGAACACCTATTGGAGCTGAGAAGATTGATTCAATATCTAAATAGGAGAAGTGGTCTTCCTGGGAGCAGATCCAACTTTATTTACTTCAGCCTTTATCTCCAAGTTACTGAAAGTAACAAATATAGAGGCTGACAATTTTATTTGGCCTTTTGAACATATGCAGCAAGTACATTCATCCTGGCTAGTCATAGAAGATCATACCCTCCATGGAAAAGACTAAGATTGCTCTAGAGAAATTAGGGCCAACCCCTGCTCTCAGAAAACAAGACATAGAGGGAGCCAGTGGCAGTGGGGAGCCCTACTGCTTGAAGGGACATCTCTAAATTGTTTCTTTTCTCTTCCATTCCATCTCCCACTCCCAAGTCTAAGAAAGAAATAAACACACCCAAGGTGAATTCTTTTCCAGGAAAACAGACTCACAAGCAAAAATAAAGTGGAAGTCATAAATAAATGTTTAAATAGTATTTTCTAAAATACAGGAAATAAACATAAAGCACTTAATTTATTGACTTTTAAAATTAAGCAGCAAAACCCTTTAAATTATCAGACATAACTACTTAGCTTTGATAAGCCCCTACTTCCCCCTCTGTAAAACAGGAATGAACACTTTTCAGAGTTATTGTGAGGTCAGAATATAATTTATATGTATGGCTCAGCACAGTGTTTGGAACATTGTTCTGGTATGTTTTATTATTCAACTCCATGGTTAATTAAGAAAAACAAGGGAAAAAGAAAGGATAAATGAAGGTTGGGTGGTGAGGTAGGAATAGAGAAAAATAGAATTAGACAGTCATAGAAGAGAAGACAGAGTGAGGGATAAGAAGGCAGCTGGTTGAGATGAATGTGGCTAGAAAGCACAGGGGCCTGAAGGAAATGTGCTTGAAGAGACAGAAGTGTCAGGGCAGACTGGATGACCCGCTGCCAAATGGCCTCAGAGGTAACATTTACCTTCGTGAATTAATCATGGACCAGGGTCATAAGCTTGATTTTAACAGGACTAAGAGATAACCTATATATAATGGGGGACTGGAAAGTAGATTACAATAACTTAGCTCCTATCCCACTGAGCCAAAGAATCAATGTATTAATTCATGAGAAATGGAATTTCCAAGAGGGACAGAATTCTGACATTGCCATGTCTTGAAAATTGTTCCCTGTAAGAAAATGTGCACAAGAAGCCAATTTATGACACGAAGGCTGCTTTGCAGGTATGAGGGGAGGGGTTTAAGTATTTAATGGAATCAAGACCTGATAAACTTATGTCTTCAAATACCGAATAGGGATAAACCTGCCATGGGCACCTGAGTGACTATACTAGGCTGGAATGGGATCTATCAACATATACTCCTCTAATTTTTTTTAATCCTAGTTCTATGTCTAAGCAGTCCATTTTAAGGTGAAGCAGACCCTTAAATGTAATTGACCAAAGTAATATAAATTAATTTAGTTTTTATCAGTAAAAAATGAAAATATCCATTCATTCCACCCCTATAGTCCCATTTTAATTGTTAAACATGTTAACAGATTGATATGTTCCCTTCCTGGTATTTTCTTACACAAACACACCTTTACAGAAAATGAATATATCTGTTAGTGAGGTAAACACTGTTGATTATTTATCTAGTATGTTTCCCCTCTTATATATTTTATTGCTCAGAAAACCCAATTTTGTTTGCATGTTCATCTACTGTAGTCCTTTGATCAGAGAAGATGACCCTCTCCCCAAGTTTAGGGATAAAGATTGTTGTCAACTAATCATTTTCATCCCATTCTATAGATGTCATGGTTAGCTTAGGCATGGGCCTGTGATACAATCCTGCTCTTCTGAATTGGGAACTCTAGAAAAGCTTTTCCCTCCTTAAAGAAAATATGTGTAACAGTCGTATCCCACTTCTTTGTATGTCAGGTCTATATTTGACACCTGGACCTGCTGCAACTATCTTGACATCATGAAGGGGGAGATCTCAACACTTTCAGTTAATATTTTTCAATTATGTGTTACTGGAAACCCAACTAAAACTGGACAAAATGAGATTTTCTTGCTTCATGTAACTGAATGAGAAAGATCTGTGTATAACAGCAAAGTTTTGCACTGGGATTGTAGTAGAGTGTTAGCTAATCACCAAACTTGGATATTCTAAAAAGGGAATGCAATTGAAATCCTAGAAC